CAGGAGTTCGAGACTTGCCTGGGCAATATAGCTAGACCACAGTCTCTCTATATAGAAAGGAAAAAAACCAAAAAGACAAAAAGAAAAAAGAAAAAGAAAAAGAAAGGCTAGTCAAGTGCAGTAGTGAGAAGACTCCAAGAACTCCACCCTGTAACTGCCTGCGAACAATCAACTGAGGTAACTCACCGACTTTGGGGCTGCCTGAAATCAAATTTTTTTTTTTTTTTATGGAGTCTCACTCTGTTGCCCAGGCTAGAGTGCAGGGGCACGATCTCTGCTCACTGCAACCTCCGTCTCCCAAGTTCAAGCGATTCTCCTGCCAGCCTCCTGGGTAGCTGGGATTACAGGGACCCACCACCATTCCCAGCTAACTTTTGTATTTTTTTTTTTTTTGAGATGGAGTTTCGCTCTTGTTACCCAGGCTGGAGTGCAATGGTGCGATCTCGGCTCACAGCAACCTCCGCCTCCTGGGTTCAGGCAATTCTCCTGCCTCAGCCTCCTGAGTAGCTGGGATTACAGGCACACGCCACCATGCCCAGCTGATTTTTTGTATTTTTAGTAGAGACGGGGTTTCACCATGTTGACCAGGCTGGTCTCGATCTCTTGACCTTGTGATCCACCCGCGAGACTTTAATTTCAAAGTTCTGTATGGTCTTGGTTTAAATAAAAGTACCTCAGACGTAGCTGATTCTGCTTTGTGGTCAGATTATAAGAGGTCTAATTTATTTTGTACAATTAGGCATCCTGGTATCATAAGAAGCCAGAAGAAGACACTGAAATTATTATTTTATTTATTGATTGATTGATTTTTTTTGAGACGGAGTTTCTCTCTTGTTACCCAGGCTGGAGTGCAATGGCGCGATCTCGGCTCACCGGCAACCTCCGCCTCCTGGGTTCAGAATCTCCTGCCTCAGCCTCCTGAGTAGCTGGGATTACAGGCACGCGCCACCATGCCCAGCTAATTTCTTGTATTTTTAGTAGAGACGGGGTTTCACCACGTTGACCAGGATGGTCTCCATCTCTTGACCTCATGATCCACCTGCCTCGGCCTCCCAAAGTGCTGAGATTACAGGCTTGAGCCACCGCTCCCGGCCCTACACTGAAATTATTAAGCACGATAATTTTTTTTTTTTTTTTTTGAGACGGAGTTTCGCTCGTTACCCAGGCTGGAGTGCAATGGCGCGATCTCGGCTCACCGCAACCTCCGCCTCCCGGGTTCAGGCAATTCTCCTGCCTCAGCCTCCTGAGTAGCTGGGATTACAGGCACGCGCCACCACGCCCAGCTAATTTTTTGTATTTTTAGTAGAGACGGGGTTTCACCATGTTGACCAGGATGGCCTCGATCTCTCGACCTTGTGATCCACCCGCCTCGGCCTCCCAAAGTGCTGGGATTACAGGCTTGAGCCACCGCGCCCGGCCAAGCACGATAATTTAAAATGCTGTCTCCCTTGTGAACCAAAGAAGTAGAGATTTATGATCATTTTTGGATTATTTATTTTTCCTTTCTTTTCTTTTAATTGAGGTGGAGTCTCACTCTGTGGCCCAGGCTGGAGTATAGTGCTGTGATCTCTGCTCATTACAACCTCTGTCTCCAGAGTTCAAGCGATTTCCCCTCCCTCAGCCTCCCAAGTAACTGGGATTACAGGTGCACACCACCACACCCAGCTAGTTTTTGTATTTTAAGTAGTGTCGGGGTTTTACGGTATTGGCCAGGCGGTTCTCGAACTCCTGACCTCAAGTGATCCATCCGCCTTAGCCTCCCAAAGTGCTGGGATTACAGGCATGAGTCACTGTTCCTGGCCCCTATTTTTTTTGTTTTCATTTTTGAGATAGGGTCTCACCCTGTCACCCAGACTGGAGTGCAATGGTTCCATCATGGCTCAGGGCAGCCTGGAACTCCTGGGCTCAAGTGATCCTTCCACCTCAGCCTCCTGAGTAGCTGGGATTACAGGTGTGCACCACCATGTCCGGCTAATTTTTGTGGTGTGTGTTTGTTTTGAGACGGAGTCTCACCCTGTCGCCCAGGCAGGAGTGCAACGGTGTGATATTGGCTCACTGAAACCTCCATCTCCAGGGTTCAAGCAATTCTCCTGCCTCAGCCTCCTGAGTAGATGAAATTATAGGCACACGCCACCATGACAGGCTAATTTTTTTTGTATCTTTGGTAGACACAGGTTTTCACCATATTGTCTAGGCTGGTCTCAAACTCCTGACCTCGTGATCCACCTGCTTTGGGTCCCAAAGTGCTGGGATTACAGGCGTGAGTCACCGCGCCTGGCCCCTATAAGGTTTTAATACCATATTTTTGCTGTAACTTTTCTATGTTTAGATTATGTTTTGACACATGAATACTTACCACTGTGTTACAGTCACCTACAGTATTCAGCAGAGTAACATGCTATACCTGTTTGTAACCTAGGAGCAAGAGGGTCTACCATACCGCCTAGGTGTGTAGCAGACCCTACCATCTAGGTTTGTGTAAGTACACTCTATGATATTTGCACAATGATGAAATAACCTAGTGACACATTTCTTAGAAGCATCCCCATCGTTAAGCGATGCATGACTTTATTTTTAGCAGGAGTGTATATAACCAAAAAACAAATTAACAGCAGAAATATCGTTTTAAAAATCTACAATATTAAGGTGTGGTCTGAAGTCCAAAGAAGTTCATCCAAGTTTCTGACATTTTACACAACTATACAGGTTATTCAATTTCAGAAGCCCACCTGCAAGGCAGGGTCCCTTTAGACCAGGCGTCCCCAAACTTTTTACACAGGGGGCCAGTTCACTGTCCCTCAGACCATTGGAGGGCCACCACATACTGTGCTCCTCTCACTGACCACCAATGAAAGGGGTGCCCCTTCCTGAAGTGCGGCGGGGGGCTGGATAAATGGCCTCAGGGGGCCGCATGCAGCCCACGGGCGGTAGTTTGGCGATGCCTGCTTTAGACTCTGCTCCTGTCAGTGAAAAATGATGCCAGCCTCTTGGTACTCGAGTCACACGTGGTTCTGTACCCTGGATTTCCAAACCAAACTCATTTAGCAACCTAGGGTAACTGTCATGACCTCTCAAATGAGAATGCCATGCAACAGGGCATGAGTATGAAGCCTGTAGCAGTGTCCAGTATGTGGTGGTAGCTCAACATTCATTCCTTCCATTTTTAAGGTTCTAAAAGATTTTCATCCTAAGGGGCAGGAAGATAGCCGACTTCAGATTAATGTTGGGATTCCCAGGATATCCAATGAAACAAAACCAACTCTTTTTATACATGAGAGTGAGTATTTCAGTGTGTGTCCATTTTGCCATATACCTGTCCCCTAAAACCTCTAGTTTTATGGAAATTTAACGTTTTATGGAATATACCATATTTATCAAATTTAACCTTTTATGAAATTAACCAACTTACGGAAATTGACTTTGTACAAATTATTTATCTTCACATAATTAAAACTGTAACTCAGGCCGGGCCGGTGGCTCATGCCTGTAATCCCAGCACTTTGGGAGGCCGAGGTGGGTGGATCACGAGGTCAAGAGATCGAGACCATCCTGGTCAACAAGGTAAAACCCCGTCTCTACTAAAAATACAAAAATTAGCTGGGCTTGGGGGCCTGAACCTGTAGTCCCAGCTACTCAGGAGGCTGAGGCAGGAAAATTGCTTGAACCCAGGAGGCGGAGGTTGCAGTGAGCCGAGATCGCACTATTGCACTCCAGTCTGCGTAACAAGAGCGAAACTCCGTCTCAAAAAAAAAAACCAAAAAAACGGTAACTCGTGGATTCTGAAACTTACATTATTTGAAATTCACATTACATGTCTATCAATCAGTTGCTACTGATTTTGGTGTAAGGTTTCACATTTTCGGCCGGGTGTGGTGGCTCATGCCTGTAATCTCAACACTTTGGGAGGTCGAGGTGGGTGGATCACCTGAGGTTGGGAGTTTGAGAACAGCCTGACCAACATGGAGAAACCCCATCTGTACTAAAAATACAAAAATTAGCCAGGTGTGGTGGTGCCTGCCTGTAAACCCAGCTGCTCGGAAGGCTGAGGCAGGAGAATCGCTTGAACCTGGGAGACGGAGGTTGCGGTGAGCTGAGATTCCGCCATTGCACTCTGGCCTGGGCAAGAAGAGGGAAACTCTCAAAAAAAAAAAAAAAAAAGATTTCACATTTTCAGAATATGACCTACCTGGAATATACACATAAGGAAATGTTCCATAATTGTTTTAATTTCAGGATAAATTTACCTAGGAAAGATAGGAATATTTTAGAGAACCCCTCCTTTTTTTTCCTTTTCATTGTGCTGCTATAATGTTGAGAATCAACCAGATGCAACTGTTCCCTAAGCCCCACAGTTCAGGAAAAGACAACCCAGAGCCCATAGAGTTTTGGTTCCCACCCCAGCCTGGTCACTGCCACTCATCTGGGTCCCCGTGTCCTCACTGTGAAAACATAGCCTTGGACCAAATATTGTGTAAGGAGCTTTCAAGCCCTAAAATTCTATGATGAGTCATCAAGTAATGAACAACAAACTAACCAGGGAAGCAAACTAAAATACATTTCCTGTGGCCAAATTTTCAGAGCCCAGAGGTCAACTTATCAAAGAGGGGGAGGAGTCAAAGAGTTGAAGAGCAGTGCTACACACACAAAACAAGTACCAGCTTGGAAATAGTGGTTTTCTGCCTCTATCTAAAAGTGACAAAAATCAAAATATAAATAGGGTTTAAAACTGTAATATGTACACTCAGGACGCAGACTTCCTATGCTCAAGAAGGGAAGATACTTTTGCATAATTACAAAGTGTAGTCCTATACCTTGTCTGTTCATACTATACAAAGCATATTACACTTGCAAAATACGAAAATGTTTACATGGTATAATTATCTGTATTTATGACACTTTAATTAAAAAATATAAAAGGAATTTCATTAGGCTTAGATAAGCTGAGACTACACAAAAGTTTTCCAGGCTATTTAATCAAGTAACTTACAATGTACACATCCTGAGTATACACCATTGTGGTGACATCGTTTGTTTCAGAATTTCCTGCATTCAGCTTAAAAGGTGTTTCTTCCCAAGAAACTGCACTTTTCTGTCAAATGCACTTGATCGAATAGGAGAATTGGGTTCATAAAATGGATTCATTGAAAACTTTATATATAAATCATAAACATCAGTAAAGAAGCTCTTTATTCCATCTTCTTGTCTTATGTCATGAAGCATCATAAATCTCATATGCCCTGCAGTGACAAATGCTGACACAAACCACTTGTTGAGCTTGTCCACCGTTTTCAAGTACATGTTGTTCGACAGCCACATGTTCTCATCTACTAGGTCAAGAGCAGCATGAGCTATGAACTGGTTCAGATGACGATGGTCGTCTTTGGATTCTGCCTTCCCAGCTGGCAAAAACTCCATTTCAAAAACGGGATTATCATGGTGGCCAACGATCACAAAGTAGAAGCTCCCAGACATGGTCTTCAATATATGGCTCCTGCAGCAAGAGGCCGACAATGGAAACGCAATCAATTTTAATTTTTTTTTTTTTTGAGATGGAGTCTAGCTCTGTCACCTAGGCTAAAGTGCGGTGGCACAATCTGGCCTCACTGCAACCTCCGTCTCCCAGGTTCCCAACATTTAAACAAGTTACTCTGAAAAGACCAGAATGTCATGGAGGAATTTATTTTTCTGTACTTCTAGGGAGGAGCTGCACAAACCACTCCCTTGTATTATCTATTCAAAACAAGACCCACTCCTTTAGAATCCCTGGTAGTCTGGGAAACTGGGTGGTTTTCTAATACTGAGCCTCTAGGCCAGTCTGAAAGGTCTCCTCCTCCTCCAGGTCAAAACAAAGGACTGTGACCCTGCGGTTTCTGCTGAGATTTATTTGCCCAGTGCTGCACAGCCGCCCACGTCTCTAGCTTCTTTGCTGCCCCTACAAACATGTAGATCATATTAAATTTAAGGCCTTCACTGATTTCCTTAGGGGAAGCAGAGGAAGAATGAACATGAGAACCAACCTTAAGAAAAAGTGCTTAAAGAGTTGCTGATGTCTAGCTTCAGGCACAGCCCCCCTACTTCCTTATTTAGCAGTACTTAAGGTAAAAGCCCACAACAATAGAAGTCAGAGAGCCCCTTCCTGAGGTGCTCTACGAAAATTTGCATTTCTGAGAGGCTTCCAAGGGGCCTTACTCAAATTCATCTTTCTTTTCCCCAGGCTGGCAGTTAACTGAGGAACTGCAGGATAAAACGTTAAAGTGCTGGTGAAAAATAGGGATTGCATGCAGATGTAGAATTTGGGGCCAGGAAATCTAAACCCTGGCCTCCAATCGTCTCACCCTTTTAGAAGCTACCACGGACAACTGTTTAAAGGCCCTCTCAGATGACAGTTTTTGGTAAAGTTCCAGGAAGATAGAGCATTATTTTAATCCAGTAGAAAAAGAAGAGGATATGACCCTACGGCGTGCCAGATAAAAAAGTTCAAGGACCGAATTTGCCCCTTGCTTCAATACTTCGTAATATAATTGGACCTGTCGACACCTCGGATGTACACAGCAATGAGGGTATAAAATTACTGAGTTAATGTAGGTGCTGGATTCCGAGATGAGAAAGTCTGAGGTGCAAACCACTAGGGCATATTGTGCTTCCACGGAAGTTTTATCGGGTCCTCAAGATGCCCTTGCTTGGTCTTTTTGAAGGCTGGGCAGAGGTGGATAAATGGAGCGTGGTTGTTTAAACAGTTCTCCTGCAGTTCTGACATCCACTCTAGGTTAAATCCATACAGCTGCAGGTCACGTAATCCGGCCATGCTCTTCCCAGCTGGCAGCCATGGCAAAAGTCCCTTTCTCTTGGCGCGAAATCCAAGGAAATCCAAGAACTGCTCTAAGATCCACGCGCCAAAGCCCTGGCGTTAAGTTACTGGGGTGGGCGGACGTGTCAAGGGCTGGTGACCCCCCACAGCCAGCGGGGCCCTGGGGTGCTGGCACCCGGAGGCTACAGAGGAAACAAAAGTTGGGGGGCCGGCGAAGGTCGCGAGCACCCGCGATCTCTGATTGGCGGAGCCGCTCAGAGTTTTCTTTATGGCGTCACCGCGTACCTGCCTGTAGAAAGGCCCCGTCTCCGTGACGTCACGCCCCGCCGGCCAATCAGAGGCCGCGGTCGGCGGGCCCCGCGGAGGGCTGCGGGCCCTTTTTTGTGAATGAAGCGCCACGGAGCAGCCCTCCCGGGGTCCCCGCGAGCCGCGTCCCGCCGCGCCCCGGCGCCTCCGCAGCGGCGTCCGCGTCCGCGTCCGCGTCAGCGGGGGGCGCGCACGGTTACCCCGGGCAGCCCCGGCCGCCAGCGGCAGCCCCGTCGCCTCGGCCGCGCCGGCGGGCTGAGGGCAGCTGGGGGCGGGCTGGGGGCGCCGGCCGCGGCGGGGGGCGCTGTAGCGAGGGCTGCGGCGGGCGGCGGGCGGCGGGCGGCGGGCGGGAGCGGGGCGGGCGCCGTGGGCCGGGCCCCTCCTCCGGCTCCTGCGCGGCCGCCTCCCGCCGGCGCCCGCCGTCCCCGCAGCGCCGCTCCGCGCCCGCCGCCCCGAGCGCCCGAGCGGGGCTGGCGAGCGCCTCGGCGGGCGCGCGGGGCCATGGTCCGGGCGCCCTGACGGGCCGCGGCCGCCTCCATGAAGCGGAAGAGCGAGCGGCGGTCGACCTGGGCCGCCGCGCCCCCCTGCTCGCGGCGGGGCGCGTCCACCTCGCCGGGCGTGAAGAAGAGCCGCAGCTCCGCGCCGCAGGACCCGCGCCGCCCGGAGCCCGCGGACGACGTGTACCTGGACGTCACCGGTGAGCCGGCCCGCGGGCGCGCGGAGGGCCCCGGACGGCCGCACGCGGCGCGGGGCCCCGGCCCCCCTCCCGGGCTGCCCCGGGCCTCCGCGCCCGCCTCCCGAACGCCGCGTCCGCCGCACCCGCCTTAGCGGCGCGGCTCCGGGGAGCGCCCCCGCCCCAAGTTTCCAGCTGCGTGGGCCGCGAGCTGTAACTTCAGCCGGTGCGCCCTCCCACAGCCAGACCAGCCGAGGGCCGCCCTTCCCGGCCGCGGGCGTCAGCCCGGCGCCTCGAACCTGCGGTCCTCCCCGCGGGCGGCTTCGGAGAGCCTGTGGATTCCGCCTCCGGGGGTCGCCGGCCCGCTCGGCTCTCGCGCGAGTCACAGTCGGTCCCAGAGGATTCGCCGAGCGCGCCGGACGCGCCTGGCACGGGAGCTGCCCCTTTTTGGCGCTGGCCGTGTCCCCGCTGCTCCGTAGCCTCCGGGCCCCCGGGGCGCCGCGTTCCCTGCCCGGGGCGCCGCGTTCCCTGCCCGGCGCGGAAGCCCGAGCCCCTCTCCCGGTCGTCCTGCGCCCTGGCCCCCAGCGCGACCCCCGCAGGTCTCCGCTTCCCGGGGTCTGCTCCCCTCCGGGGCCTCGAAGAGGAAGGTGTCACGTTAATGGCACTCGAGCCAGCCGAATGCCCGGGTTGTCACTTGAGAAACCCCTGCCAGCCAGAGCAGGTAGCCTAGCAGCCCTTCGATAGCTGTTCTGTTAGTGCTGATTCGACCGTTCTTGGAGACTCATAAATCCAATTTGGCAGCTGTTAGGTTTGCTGGGATTGACAGTGACGCGTGTGAAGGCATTAAATGTGATGATGTATGTGGCAACGCTGTGTAAACAGCAGAGCTGTCCACGGTTTTGAGGGAATTGGCAGTCTTTCTGTGATGGGGAATGTGTCAACCTCGGGGCATGGCGTTGTTAAAAACTGTTTCCCGCCCTCAGCCTTTGATAAACCAGGTGAGCTGGAGTGGAGAGAACATTAAGTTGAGCGTTGGGACAAACGCAGATGTTAAGGAGAAATAATGTTTTAGGTTCATGGACGGTCTGGAAACTAAGGTCCATTTGAAACGAAGCTGAGAGCACAGCAGGTTTGTCGGCTTTGGTGGGTGGCCCTTGGGAGCCAGGGCGGGCAGAGGAAGGGGTTGCCCTGAGTACCAGTCCCTGGCAGTTAACTGTGGGGCCTGGGTGTGCAGTGGCGCTGCAGGAGGTGAAGCCTGCTGAGGCTGAGAACCAGGTCTGAGGTGAAGCCTGCTGAGGCTGAGAACCAGGTCCTTCAACGTTGTGCACTGCCGAGGAGAGGGCCTCGCCGAGGACGAGTGGGGCTGGGAGCCGGTGTGCCTACACATTGCTTCTGCCTGTTGTATTCATACCTCTTAAAACGATCTCTGTTGAATGGCATTTAATTTTAGGACAAATAATTCATTTTATATGGTACAGAACTCCAATTCTAAAGGTGCACAGGAGTATACACAGAAAAGTTGGTCTTGTAGATTCTAGGGGTCCTTCTCTAGAGGCAGCTACTCTTCCCAGTTCCTACATACATACTACATTTGCAGTATATTCTCTACCATACACGTGCGAGTAGCACACAACATGTGCACATGGTTCCATTTTCGTAGTGTTTTTTATTATAATGATTGTTCTGAATTGGTGCATTCAAGACTTACTTGATTTTAATTACCACTTAGGCCAGTGTACATACGGTTTTATGAATAAAACCATTAAAAAGTACATATAGATTTAAATGTATATATAGATTTAAATGTTTTTTAACCTATTTAAACAGTCCCTGTTGATGAACGTTTAGTCAGAAGGTTTGTGACAGCAAAGTCATTGGAGTAAATAAATGTTTCTCCTTGATGGAGACCAAATGTGATGTGGCTAGCCTTCGTGAGGCAGTCACCAATTAATTAACTTCAGAAAAATGTAACCAAGCAGAGTACTGAGGAGAGGTACATTATATGAAATAAAAATGCTATCAGATTTCCAGCTCTAATCATGGAAGGGTCCAGCTTTTATGTAAGGGAGCTCCAGGGAAGTAAAGATTATAGTCACCTTTCCCTGTGACTTTCTCTAGGTGTCTCTCAGTGATAGTCTTGGCTTCCTGGAAAAATGATACTTAATCAGTCTGTTGCAGTGTGATATACAAGGCCAATTAAAGTATCTTCAGATGCAGTGTTCAGATTACTTTTTATTGGGCTTTGGGGGAAGGTTTGAGGCCTGTCCTCAGCAAATGGCAACTACTCCTTTCCTTCCCTACCTGTTTTTCCCTCCATTATTGTTTTCTTAATTTAAAAAGCTGTGCATGGCTGGGCGTGGTGGCTCACATCTGTAATCCCAGCACTTTGGGAGGCCGAGGCGGGTGAAGTTAAGAGATGGAGATCATCCTGGCCAACATAGCAAAAACCCATCTCTACTAAAATACAAAAATTAGCTGGGCGTGGTGGTGTGCACCTATAGCCCCAACTACTCGGGAGGCTGAGGCAGGAGAATTGCTTGAAGCCAGGAGGCGGAGGTTACAGTGAGTTGAGATCCCGTCACTGCCTTCCAGCCTGGTGCCTGGCAAAAGAGGGAGACTCTGTTTCAAAAAAAAAAAAAAAAAAAAAAAAAAGCCCTGCATGTGCACTTCCAAACATTGTTAAATGAGTTTTATAGAGTCTCCCTCCTTTGGTAATGATTTTCATCCTTCAATTTTCTGTGCACATTCAAGTTTCTAGAAATTGTGCCATACCAGCAGGATTAGAGATCTCTCTTTTTCTCTCTCTCGCGCGCTCTCTCTCCCTCTCTTTTTTTTTTTTTTTTTTTGTTGTTTGTTTTGTTTTTTGAGACAGTCTTTCTCTGTCACCCAGGCTGGAGTGCAGTGGCTCCATCTCAGCTCACCACAACTTCCACCTCCTGGGTTCAAGCGATTCTACTGCCTCAGCCTCCTGAGTAGCTGGGACTACAGGCGCGTGCCACCATGCCCAGCTAATTTTTGTATTATTAGGAGAGACGGGGTTTCAGTATGTTGGCCAGGCTGATCTCGAACTCCTGACCTCGTGATTCATCTGCCTTAGCCTCCCAAAGTGCTGAGATTACAGGCCTGAGCCACTGCACCTGCCGATTAATTTTTTGATGGTTGCATTGTATGGCTGCATCATGATTTAGTGGTAATAAATAGATGGTTATTTGGGAGTTTTCCAGTCCCTTTTTGCAAATGGCTACAGTAGCATCAGTGTATGTGTTTGTCTACAGTGTGACTATATCTCTAGAGTACATTTCTAGAAGTGACGATGCCAGGCCAGAGTACATACAGACTTTATCCATTCCTCAGTGGACTTTTTGGCTATTATGAATAATGCTGCTGTGAACATTCATATGCAGGTTGTTGGATGGACATGTTTTCAGTTCCTTTGGATATCATACCTAGGAGTAGAATGGCAGGGTCACGTGGTAACCCCATGTTTAATGTTTGAGGAACTGTCAGACTCTTTTTGCAGAGTGAGGCTACACCACTAGCATTCCTCCCAGCAATGTACCAATTATTCTACATCCTCGCCAACACTTACTGGTTTTTTTTTTGAGACGGAGTTTTGCTCTTGTTACGCAGGCTGGAGTGCAATGGCGCAATCTCGGCTCACCGCAACCTCCGCCTCCTGGGTTCAGGCAATTCTCCTGCCTTAGCCTCCCAAGTAGCTGGGATTACAGGCACGCGCCACCATGCCCAGCTAATGTTTTGTATTTTTAGTAGAGACGGGGTTTCACCATGTTGACCAGGATGGTCTCGATCTCTTGACCTCGTGATTCACCCGCCTCGGCCTCCCAGAGTGCTGGGATTACAGGCTTGAGCCACCGCGCCTGCCAACACTTATTATTGGATTGACAGGATTCTTTCACAGTGGAGTAGGCTTGTAAAAATTAATGCATGTTGTCACTTCTGTCCAGCCTGCCTTTAAATACATCATTTTATTTTATTTTATTTATTTTATTTATTTATTTTTTTTGAGACGGAGTTTCGCTCTTGTTACCCAGGCTGGAGTGCAATGGCGCGATCTCGGCTCACCGCAACCTCCGCCTCCTGGGTTCAAGCAATTCTCCTGCCTCAGCCTCCTGAGTAGCTGGGATTACAGGCACACACCACCATGCCCAGCTAATTTTTTGTATTTTTTAGTAGAGACGGGGTTTCACCTTGTTGACCAGGATGGTCTCGATCTCTCGACCTCGTGATCCACCCGCCTCGGCCTCCCAAAGTGCTGGGATTACAGGCTTGAGCCACTGCGCCCGGCCTAAATACATCATTTTAAAACTTTAGTCCTTTGACATTTTTATTGCAACCTATTTAATCTGTAAATTGAATTCCTGTAGATCCCAGGATACTTCATGTGTGTGTATTTAACATAGGATGTTTAATGCCTATTTTTGTTCCTATCGTCTTTTGTTATATATCACTATCATTTAGTCTCTAGCCACCCATACCACTATACTGGGCATTTACTCTTACTAGGAGCAGACTAAGGGGTTTAATTCGCACCCCAACCCCATCCACCTCTCACTGAGCTGTCCATTCAGTTCTTGCCATGTGCACATGGATTTTTTTACTTGAACTGTACGCCTAGTGCAGTTTCAGTGCACCATGAAAATAAAAGGTCATAAAGACAATGTAGGCTGGGCGCAGTCGCTCACATCTGTAATCTTAGCACTGTGGGAGGCCAAGGCAGGCAGATCCCCTGAGGTCAGGAGTTCCAGACCAGCCTGGCTAATATGGTGAAACCCCATCTCTACTAAAAATGCAAAAATTAGCTGGGCGTCGTGGCATCCACCTGTAGTCCCAGCTACTCGGGAAGCTGAGGCAGGAGAATCCCTTGAACCTGGGAGGTGGAGGTTGTGGTGAGCAGAGATCGAACCACTGCATTCCACCCTGGGTGACAGAGAGAGACTCCATCTCAAACAAACAAACAAAAAAACTAGGCAGTGTAAACTGTAAGCGTTAATGCTAAAAAGATG